CATCCTCTCTCCTTTCTCATCTCCCCCTACCCCTCCTCTCTCCATTCTCATCTCCCCCCTACTACTATACCTTTCCCTCTCTCACCCCCCCCCCCCCCTTCTTTCTCTCTCTCACTTAACCTATCTATCCGTCCGACTCCGTTTTGGCTTTTCCCTATCCCTTGTACTTTTTCTTTTTCCTTTCTCTCGTTTGCTTTGTCCTCTTTCTTTCACATTTTTTTCAATCATCCTCCTGTATCTATATTCCTATTACCCAAGTCAACGCCATGTATCTTACGATGTCTCACTTTGGGCTGATTTCCATTCTTTACAGCTTTTATCACTACTGTTAATCGACATTTTCAAGCCTTTTTTCCTGAGCGGCCTTTTGAGCTGACTCTTGCAACTCGCCCCTCTGCATCTTCATCATTGTTTCCATTATACATCCTTCCCTCTTCGAAGTTCTGCCACTTTGCCTCTCCATTTCTCTAGCTTTCCGTCTCCTTGCGTATCATCCTTATCCAGGAAAGGAAGAAAAAGAAAATCTCAAGTTCCGGGAGGCCTTGCGTGCCGGGGTAACATCAGTTGTTGGTAATTAATTGTCCTTTTCTTGGACCTGTTACGAAGCGGTTGTTTATAGCACCTTATCCATCTTCGACAGCTTGCAGGCATTCCTCGGTCGCTCGCTGTTTGTAGAGATGCATTGCGTCGGTCGTTCTTCTTGCCTGCGGGTGACCTCTTCTTCTGTGCTTGACGCCTATCTCGTCTCTAGATTTTGCAGAAAGGCTTGGATATCTCTTCGGTCAGTCTCGACGAAATTGAAACTGAAGCAATCTGTTGGGTGTGTGAGGCAGAACTCGACATCTTCACCTCCACCTCACCCGCACCGGATCTTTACCTCTTTCCCCACCCCTCCTTCCCCCTCTTCCCCTTTCCTCCCTGTTGGCTGGTCCTCCTAAGAACAGGTTTTCTCGAGCTCCAGGTATCTCGATGAGACGATTCTGCTCCGCGAGTGTAAGTAACGGGAGATCCTCTGGAAGGAAAGAGGGCGGAGAGCGTGCTTTGTGCTTTTGCGTTCTGTTCCTGTCATTGTTATGGAAATTTAAGGGCGGGGCTGCGTTGTCTTTTATTATCCTTGTATATTTTAATGTTGTAGAATCACTTTTACTGCGATCAGCTTTGTTGACGACAGTTCAGAGAAAATTGTAAAAAGAACCTTGGACCCTAGAATAAGGCAATGATGTTTGTTCGGGGCTCTAGGGCTGAGAGAACTCGCGAGTCAGCTTCTCTGAATGAACATCTCCAATAACAGATAGCAATATTGTTCATCGTAAATAGTCATGACTGGCAAGATTTATGGGAGCCTACGAAGTGATGAAGTGTTGAAATAGTCGGTTGAGAACAGTGACGAAGGAAGCAAAGATGCATGATGTGGATGCAGGGGTGAGTGGGCAGCGCAGGCAGAGGGAGGCAGGTTTAACGGAAAAGTCGGGTATCGGTGGGGAGGAGGTGGGGGGAGGGGGGCATTGTGGCAGGAATGACTTCAGACCATGCTGGACACTTGCCGTACAAGGGCACAAGGGTACACGGAAAACACTGCGCCAGAACACACTTGTACACATAACGGGAAACGGCTCCATCTTTACGAAAGTTTCTGTGAAGAGGAATACATGTAACTTTTTTTTTGTTTTGTTTTGTTTTTTGTTTATTTTTAGATTATTCTTTTTGCACCAATACGTCCGTCAAGGAGCAGGGGAAGGGAATAAACATAGGCTGTTTTATTTGAGTTTATCGCCCAGTGGCGGATGACGTCACTCCCGCGGCGGTGGCAGGCGATAGTGACCATGATACGAGTTTTTTTTCTCTTATGTTGTTTAGCTTTATCTTGTCTAGGATGATCGTGTGCTGGAAATAATTGTTTTGACGGATCAACTTTATGATAACTAATTATAGTCGTGCCTCCCAATTTATTTATCAGGTTTAACATCATTCCCCGCGCCTTTTTGAATGAAGATAAGTAACTGATAAACGACCGACGATGATTACTAGTTTGATTTTTTGCAACGTAATGAATGTCGATGGATTTTTAATGAACCATCATCGGCATTCTCATTGGCAGTCATCTCGTTATGCTTGGAGTCATGTATCTGTCGTTCATTGCAGTTGTAAAAGAAATATCCCCGAAGGAAGAAAGTGGCGCTATATATATATTTTTTTTATCAATCAATTATTTATTTATTTATCAGATGGGCACTTCCTATTCCTACTCCTCCCTCCTCCCTGTTTCCTACCTAACCCTCTTCGAGTTTTCTTCCATACCCTTCTCGCCTTCTCCTTCCTCTTTATCCTCTTCCCGCGAACGACCTTGGATTAAAGAGTTTTCAAAAAATGTAGTCGTGAAAATATCTATTCATGGAGGGAAAACAAATTTCGGTTTATGATGAGCGCGGGGCTGAATAATGAAGAGATAAAGGCCGAATAACGCGAGTTGAAATTTGATGAGTCTCCTCCGTGACTGTGTCGGGGAATATGGTTATAAGTTACCTTGGAGATGATGAGGCATGTTAATAGCCAAGGGAGAGACTGCGCTCAAGGATCGTAATGCACGTCAGTCATTGTTTCATGATGCTTCTCGTCTTGCTCTTTCGATGACTGTCATCCTCATTGTTCTGTGATTTTCCGATGTTTTCCTTGCCGTTTTTCTTTCCTTTTCATCTTGATCCTTTACCATTTCCCTTCTTTATCCTACTCCAACTCCCGCTCCGACTCCTCCTTGACCTAGTACTTGTTTGTGTGCCCCCAACCTCCGTGAGCTTTGTGGCCCTCCGGTAAAATCGCCAGAACTTATGCTGCGACATAGCCCCCGCGATGATATGTCCTAGATGGCTTTCTCTCTCCTCTTTTCCCATCTCATTCCGTCTTTTTCTTTATTTTTCCACGTGCTGCAACATGGCTCAGCTGCCTGTTGCGGTGCCGAGGAATGGCTCGAGCATTTTCGAGTTGTTTCAACATGCGTCCGACTGCTTCAAGTGCTGCAGCAGCAGCAACCACAAGTACCACAGTATGACTCAGCCACTTTGCATGTACTGCAGCGTGGCTCCTTCGGGTCTTCTTGATACACCTTGCACAACAGAGCGCAGCCACGTTTCTCCACTCCGACCAGGGATTGGCGTCAGGGATTGGCGAAATCCCGCACCAGCACAGGAACTCGCCAGTACATCCTCTCTCGGCTCGGCGCCTGCACTCGTGCGGCTTCCTCGTGCGAACCAAGCTTCTGCTTAGTAGGTTGTCTAAGATTAGAATGCCGGCACTGGACAAGGATTTATCGGCGATTATGTCTGTAGGTCACGCAGGAAGATTCCTTAGGCCATTCCCTTTCCCTTTTCTTCCAGCTGCTTGGTTTGAGAGGACTGTTTACCCACCACCTTCCCTCTCCCCATTCCCACCTTCTCCCCTGCTTCCCACTTCCTGTGGTACCAGATGGCCCTGTTGTCCTTGTGTTAATGCATCGTTCCCATCGGTAACCCCGCCGTCGACAAGCAACAGACTTGGAACTCGTATCCTTACCCAGTGGTTTTACGTGTCCTGGAGGACCTGTGGGACTTGTCCAGCGATCCCTGGAATGTCGTCGTTCCTGGTCACTACAGCTCGGGGCTGCTACTCTACGTGGAGAGCGGAAGTGCGCATATATGTGTGTGTGTGTGTGTGTGTGTGTGTGTGTGTGTGTGTGTGTGTGTGTGTGTGTGCACGTGGGCGTGCGCGTGCGTGCGTGCGTGTTTGTTTTAAGATAAGCACAGGGCTGGGACCATCATATTTATTCAGGCAACGTTTCGGATTACTTCACATTAATCAATTCCCAAGCCAATCTATTGGAAGAAAGTCGATTTTACACATTACACAAAGTAAAAACACAAATATCCTAACATGGGGCTTTACAAACTTGAAAACTAAAAATATGGCAGTAAAATGAGTATAACGTACACACACACATACGTAAACACGCACGCACACGCATACATACGTGTGTGTGTGTATGTGTATGTGTGTATTTATATATACATATAAATACATAATATGCATATGCATATATAAATGTTTGCATATGCGAATGCACATAAACTGTACATACGCATAAACACACGATGAGTTGATGCATTGCGAGTATTTCCTGAGGTCGCCGAAGCTAACGCCAGAAATTACTTGGTGTTAAGTGTTAGTGTTAGCCTTGCCTGGGTCCTCCCTTCCGCCGGCGTGCGCTCCTACGCTCCTTCCGCCCCTCCTCCCTCCCCCGAACGCCCTCAGCCCCCCGCGCCCACGCCCCCTTCCTTTACATTGTCCTTCCTCACCTCTTTTGTGTTCCTCTGACCCGCCACATTCCAGCCCTTTCACTCCTTCGAGTTCGTGCTCTTCCTCCTCACCCTCCTTTCTCCCCCCCCCCTCTCTCTCTCTCTCTCTCTCTCTCTCTCTCTCTCTCTCTCTCTCTCCCTCCCTCCCTCCCTCCCTCCCTCCCTCTCGCACGCGCGCGCGCGCGCGCTCTTTTCCTCTTACCATCCCTGCTTTCTGCTCTCCCCCCCTCTCCACACACTACCCAACATGATGCAAGTCTGTATTGTGTTAAAATCTGAGAACTCGAGAAGTAGATATATGTAACTATAGTAACATAATAAGCCTTACTTTGAAATGATTACTGTTAGTGCATGTTCTTACCCCGTAATGTTACCCCGCAATGTCTCAGAGGACGTCGTGCCTTTCGTGTTCTTATTGATATTGCCTTCATTATATTGGCTGTATTTTTTTCTTGTTTACTCTCCCCTTTACCCTTCCCCTCCATCCCTCTCCTCTTTTTAACAACCCTCCCTCTCCTTTATCCCCCCCTCCGCCTTTATCCCCTCTCCCTTTCCTTTTCCCCTTCCTCTTCCTTTCTCTTGTTCTGCCCTTCTCCGTTTTGTGCAATGCATTTTCCGTCTCGCCTCCACTGTAAAATAATTTCCTCTAACGTGTTATTGCTTTTCTCTTTCCAGGTGAGCAGACGAGTGGAATATGGACAGCAGGTAAATAACAACGGATTTGAGTTTTTCTTCGCTGAAAATAGGTTACCTGTAGGAATTACCGGCGCACTTTTAGGAATTAATGACTGTTGAAGGGGTGTCCCATATATGCGGAACCATGCAAGATTTTTTTTTTTTTTTTTTTTTTTTTTTTTTTTTTTTTGCGGGGGGGGGGGGTCAATGAAGTATATGTAATTTGATAAACCTCTTTCAGTGTTTTGCGAGCAGGTTAACGTTTGTCATTGAGAAAGGATCGGTTATCAGTGAAGATATTAAAGATATTTAAGAAGAAGCGACATCGATATGAACGGCACCTTGTCATTCTTGGTTTTGGTTATCATCGTGAGGAACAAGGTCTTCATTTTCGACTAAATAATGTTCTGGGTTACGATAACAAATGTCATATGGAAGGGAGTGAGCGCACACGAGGGAGAAGGGGTGCAGGTCTAGCAGCAGGTACAGGACGGAAGCTTCAGTTTTGGCCGTTTTACATATGTCAGTAACCTCATGAGGCGGAACTAGCCGTGCCGCTGCATTGCCGTTGGAGGACGTGAGGCATCATTGCCATGAAGGGGGAAAAGCGGACGGCGACGGTTATTGTTTTGGTCATGAATTAGTTTTATTCAGTCCATGCGTCAGAGCATGGTTTTGTTTATTGTTTGTAGTGAAGCTCTCTAGTGCGATGCGTGTTAATGAATACAGAAAAGAAGAGCGGGATTGAGGCCCGGGCATGGTGGCGTGCGTTTGAGGCGGCGGCCGCGCGAGTGTGTGGGCGGGAGCCGTGGGAGCGTCCGGGTCGGTGTTGCCCAACGTAGGTCTTTGCAGTGGGCAGGTGTCGGCGGACTCCCGCTGGGCTTTGGGAGGACTCGTATGCAGCTCGTGCTTGCGCCGGCCAAAGGGAGACTTTATTTTTGTCGAATGGTGTATTGTATAAGCGCAACGAGGGACCATACCTGGGGGGAGTCCGCGTGCGGAGGGCCCCTTGTAGCACCGCGAATCTGCGGCGCCGATACATCACTGCTGGTCGGGAGGATGGCGGGTTCCTGGCGCAGCCCTTGGCGGCTCCATCCTGGGAAGAGGGTCGTTGTGGGGTTCGCTCGGGGGCTCCCGCAGCTAAACCCGACAGCTTTTCTCCCCCGATTCTTAGCGTCGTCGTCGTAGCGTCAGCAGCCGGGCGATGGTCATAGACTCGCCTTCGTCACCATTATTATCACGTCCTCCGGCATCGCCATTATCCCGCTTCCGCTCCACGGCCGACTTCCGTGTGAAGGCCACCACTCGCTCTTGGCCGCCTGGCCCTCCCCATCACCTCTCTCCTTCCCCTCCTTTCTCCTTTTTAGCTTTCTCCCTCCATATCTTTCTTGCTCTCATTCACATTCTCTCTGTTCTTTCTACGTGTCTTATGCTCTCCGTCTCTCCCTCTAAATAATTTTCATTCTATTCACCCACCTTTCCCTTTCGTTTCTTCCTTTCCTATCTCCAGTTCCCTTCTCTCCATCCCTTTCCCCACACATCTCTTTTCCCCCTCCCCTCTACTTTTTCCTTCCTTCTCTCCTCTCTCTTATTCTCTTTCCCTCCCTCCTTGCCCTCCCCCTGTTCTCTCCTCCCTCCCCTTATTCTTATCACCATGCCGACACGCCTCCGATCTCTCCTTCTCGTCTTTTATGCTAATGGCGCCACACTTGCTTAAATTGTGCTTGTTTAATGAATTATGATGATTGGCGAGTAAATTGCCGAGGACGAATTGCTTTTATTTTATTTGATTGGTTGCATCATTTTCGAACATGAGCAGTTAAAAAAAAAGAAAAAAAAAGAAAAGAAGAAAAAGATCACGGTTCGTTCGCGACAAAAAGTTCGTTAAGAATAAAGAAAACCAACGATCAGTGTTACCGTAAAATAACATGGAAAGGTTGACATGGCGGGGATCATTATAATCTTATAATTTTTCGTCCCGTCTTTAATCCGTCTTCATTGAGTTATTTAATTTGCGCAATTTGTCAGCACGTGTTAAAACAGTCTTCGAAATGGTAACAGACTCCCCCGGCGTGTCTCCTCTCTCTCTCTCTCTCTCTCTCTCTCTCTCTCTCTCTCTCTCTCTCTCTCTCTCTCTCTCTCTCTCTCTCTCTCTCTCTCTCTCTCTCTCTCTCTATGTGGATAACCAGTGTTTGGCTATTACTCGTAACACGCCATATGGTCATATCCACACATGCGTAAATATTTGTTGAATACGAGGGAACTCTAGAATTTATGCAAATCTGATATCCCTTTTTATGACGATATCTTGAATCCCTTCGTAGTGGATGTTTTAATTTTTTCGTGTAAGCTTAGAGGCCACCTGTTAATTTTAGGGCCCTCCCGGTGAAGAATGCACAGCGTTGCTTGGTGCAACCTTTCCGGTGGGGAAGAGGGGAGGGCATTTAGACGAAGTTTCCACCCAATAACTCGCAATCCTTTCGTTTTTGCCTTTCAGCTTTCGGCCATCATCATTTTCCACTAGCTGCACTTTTTATTTCCGCTGCCTGTGCGTGTGTGTCACCTTAGGCGCACAAGCCTTCCTCAGTCACAAAGACTAGGATTATAAGTTGGCTTGAATCCTTGTCACGTTTTGTAAATACAATTAGAAAGTCATTTTGTCAGCAGTTGATGCCGTCGAAGGTCCCCTTGGAACAGTTCAGAAACTGCATAGCCGAATGAGGATTGTGGCATTGTTTTGCCTGGTTTAGAAGTGCCTAATATCTGGTATATTTTGGTTGGTTTTTCTTATTTTCTCACGTGCTACATTTTATCACCGGGCAAAACCGAGCCTTGAATATCGCCTTTGACTTTACACTAAATATATTATTGTTGAGAATACAATTAGGTTTACATCGAATTGGTGCATTTGTCTAACTATAAAACTCAAGTATCTTCATTTATGCATCTACAAAAGTGCTCCACACACGTACACCTAAAGTATGTCCACTTAAGCGTGGAACACTAGTTGTACATAGAGTAGACCATTGCTTCTTTTTAGTTCCTTAATCCGCACAAGGAAGAAGTTATTTTTTTATGTGAATTTATATCGTCAGCCACCACCATAAGTGCACTGGGCTTTTTTACCTCTAAACTGATTGTAGGGGGAGGGAGGAATGGCGTCTGGGTATGCAGTCATCGCCTCGAGAGGTCCCACACACAACGCTCAGGGTCTCTTATAAAGGTAAAGTTGCCAGTCCGGCCGGGGAGGATGCACGGCCGTGAGACTCCCGGGTCCACCCACTTCCGTACTCGGCTTTTTGTCGCGCGACACTCCGAGACCGACCCGCCCGCCGCCACCCGCAGGAAACTTTCTTCATATCCCCCGCAGCCCCCAACCCCTCATTTATTTTTTCATTGCCGTTTTATTTTTTGTGTCTTGGTTCCATGTTCGTATATCTTCCTTTTGGTGTCCTGTATTTTTGTGTTTTTTTTTCTCCTTACTCTGTTGCTTTTCTTTGTCCCAGAGTGCATAAGCGGTAAATATACATTGGATCAGATGAACTTTCGGTTCTTGTACGCCGCCGGGGTCTTCTTGACGCCAAGGGCAACCACACCCGGCTCTTGCAACGTCCGCACTCCTACCCCCCCTCTCTCCCTCCCTATCTGTCTTTGTGTCTGTATTTGTCTGTGTGTGTCTGCGTATGGCTTTCTGGTGATATGTACGAGTCTTCGTCTTTGAATTGTCCGCTTGCCGTATTACTTCTGTTGTTGGTAGCAGTGGACTCTTCCTGAGAGTGCATTTGAATTGCTTTAATGGTGTGTTTTGCGTAGTTGTCTACGGTTTTGTCTGATCCTTGCTTGTTTCTTTTAGTTATATTTTCTTTAAGTAGTGTTGTTTTTTCTTTTGAGTTTAGCGACAGCAATGTGAATGAAAAGCCAACAGAAAGCAGTCTTGTGGCATGCGGAATGACGCTGCGGGGCGTCACTTCCGCTTCAGGCATTTCTGCCTGCCGATATAGTTTCGTCTAGGGAAGCGAATTGGTGCTTGCTCTAGTAGCATTTGCGATTTAAAACTCGATTTTTCTTTCTGCATGTTGGTCTCACCAAGTCTGCAAACGACGTGATCATAGATCATAGACAGTGTTTTTGTACATGGCATCCATTCTTCCTCTTTCTTCCTTCTTTTCTTTGTAAAGAATAATGTATGGATGAAATTATGATTTGCCGATCGGCATTATTGGTATATTTTGTTAATGCCAACAAGCGCGTCCTTTTTGTGTTTATCGAACAAATTTGAACGACAATAAAGTCGTATTAATCTCAGATATTTTCGTTCACCTTCGCCAAGGGCTCGGGACAGTTCCTCCGCCGTAAAGTGTGTGTGTGTGTGTCTGTACTATTAGTCGATCATGCGAGAGAGCTATTTCGAGGGAGTTGCTGGACAGTATTTCCCGCGGTGTTCATCAAACAGAGCATTAGGTGTAAGGGATTCCCGGAAGACGGACCTGAGGCCGAAATGAATAACCGCGTCTGAGAGTGCAGCTTGTCCTTTTGCTTGCCAACACACCCTGTTCATCAAGGGCCCGGCCTGAGAGAGCCGTCACTTGAGGCTCGAGAGATGAATGTGCGTTGTGTTCTCGTGCGCTCGACTATCACAACAGACCGCTCTCAAAACACTAATCGATAACCCAAATGACCTGACCTCTCAGCTCATCACGACTGAGGCCAAAGGAGCCCATCGATACCTGCTGCTGCATCAGGATCGAGAATTCGTTTCAATTGGAACTCACAGCGCGATTCGGCTTTTTTTTTCATTTACTTTTGTTTACTCTTTCCCTCGCGCGTGTGCCTTTATGCCAAGCATGCGACGTTTATTTATATCAATAACGCCCCCAGAATCGTTGATTGGTGAGTAATAGGCTTTTTGTCGGGTCTGCCTCGTTCGTGCTAGCTGCGTAGGGACAGGCCGCTCATACGCATACGTTGCTTTGAGCTATTAGCAGAGGGCATTAGGTATGTCGTCCGAGTGAGGTGCGAGTGCCTAGGTT